CGCGCATCAAGAGGCACAGGCGGCGGCGGCGGCGGCGGCGGCGGCAGCCGCTGAGGCCGAGCAGAGGGACGCTGCTGCTGCGGCGGCGGCGCAGCAAATGCAGCCGCAGGGGACCGAGACGATGGACGCCACTGCCAAGGGCGAGCCTTCGTTGGTCCCGGACGCAGTGCAGGGGATGGACGCCGAGTCAGACGACGAGCTGCCGGACTACGAGGAGTCGATGTACGCCTTCCCGCTAGGCCCTGCCGAGTGTGTCGACCGGGCTGAGGAGCTCGACCGCAACCTGGCGTCGATTTCTGCGGCGCTCAACGGGACGTTTGTGCCGTCGCTGTCGCGGCGGGCAGTGCCCGCTCCGCCGGTTGGCCCGCTCAACCTTGCAATGGCGCCGCTCGACAACGCATCTGCTGACGGCTCGGGCATGGCGCTCGAATCGCCGGTGCACGCCACCAATGCGCTTAAGGATCTCGCGCTCTCGCTTTTCAAGGCGCGGCAAGCCAAGTCCGAGGCCAAGGCTTCAGGCCCCGTGCACGGGTCGGAGGCCATGCCGATGGACATGGAGATGGAAATGGCGCCGCCGCTGACGCCGCCGTCAGCCTACGTGGCTTCGGCCTTTTCCTCGGCCGTCTTGCCCTCGTCAGATGCGGTGTTCAAGGAGAGCTTCTCGCTTCCCTCGCCGCACGCGCCGCCGTCGTCCTCGCAGCTCCACTCGTTCTCACTCCGTCACGGCGTCAACCCCTCGCTCGCCATCCCAGACCCGGCTTGGTCGCCATACGGCGTGCCAGACTCGTACGGCTCGTCGTACTCGATGAGCCAGCCGTACAAGCCGGTCGCCGCCGACCGCCTCCGCTGCTCGTTTGAGGTCTCGGCCGTTGACGATGACATGGAGGCCATGGACGTGGTCATGTCTCGCTAGAGATGCCGGCTGCCGGCTAGACGTACTATTGTAACACCCACTGTGATCTGGATGTAGGGAGGGGGGGGGGGGGGGAGGTGGCACTTGGCTCCCGAGTTCAGCGAGCCATGTCGGCAGCGGGCAAGCGGCAGCGGCGACTCGACGGCAGCGGAGGGGGCAGCGAGGGTGGAGAGGGCAAAGAAATAGGAGAGTGGCAGCTAGCTGCGGTGCTGCGGCCGACCGAGGACGGGCGGGGCGTTCCGCTAGCGCTGCGGGCGGTGAAGCTCTCGTCTGCGCGCCAGTGCGGGCCGACGCTGGCGCTCGTCCGCGAGCATCTGACCATGCCGATCTCGCTGCGGCATCACTTGCTGGTGAAGAAGAGCAAGGTCGCAGGCGCAGTCGAGATGCTGGTGCTGCTTGGGACGCCCGAAGCGCTGGCGCGTCTGGATGCGGGCGTGGGAGCGGCGATAGCGGCAGCGGCGACCGGCGAGGCTGGAGCCGAGTTGGAGGAGCTCGTTGTCGCCGTCACTGGCTCGCTCCATCCGCCGCTTGTCCGCGAGTCTGGATGCAGCGATTGGTGGCCGATGATGGCACTGCAGCGCTCAACTTGGTCGAGTCCACCACCCGCCAGCCTCGATGGGGCTGAGGTGGCGTACCTGACGCAGACCGGGGCGCGGCTGGTGGGTGCGGCAGGTGGTCCGGGTGCGGCGCGAGTCGTCGTTGTCGATCCGGCAAGCCGAGCCGAGCTCGGGCGGGCACCGACAGACGCTGCTCTCACGCTGAGTGGGCCATCCCTACCGTCAATGCTCCGCGGAGACGGCCATCTGGTGATGGACGCGCTGGCAAGTGTGGCTGCGCCCGAAGCGCTGGCGCGTCTGGATGCGGGCGTGGTAGCGGCAGCGGCAGCGGCAAGCGCAAGTCGCCTGGCGGGGCGACCGGCTATCTCTGTACAGGAGCAGATGCGTTTGTTGTGGGCGAGCCGTGCTCAATGTGCGCGATGGCGCTGCTCCACGCGCGAATTGCGCGGGTGGTGGTTGTCGGCGACGGCGAGGCGTGTCAATGCAGCCCGGTGACGGCCGGCGGCTACACGCGCCACTTTGTGCACGCGCAGCGGGCGCTCAACCACAGCTACGCGGTGTACCGGCTCGTCTCTGGGAGCGAGCCTGGGAGCGGCGTGGGTGGGGCTGGTGGATGAGCTATGCGGCTGGGCCGGTCGATGCGGCCGATGACGTCGGAGGCGGAGGCGCGGAAGCCTGGACCGCGAGCTGCGATGCCGAGGTCGAGGCCGAGGCGGAGGCCTGGCTCGAGCGGAGCGCCACAGTGGACTCGCGCGGGACCATGGCCGGCTCGGGGCCAAAGGTCTTGAGGCGAGATGACTTGCCGGCGAGCTCGTAGGCCGTGGAGGAGATAAAGATGGAGGGATGGATGAAGGCGGAGATGAGAAGGACCGAGGACTTGAGCCACGACTCGACAGCGTAGACCAAGGAGTGGATGGGCGCAGTGGAGGTGGCGATCCAGATGGCAGCACCAGCAAAGACAACAGCAATGGCAGAGAAGCGCGAGGACTCGGCATAGACCGGGACGCCGTAGAAGGCGTGCAGCCGCGGAGTAGTGACAAAGTACTCCTCGCCGCGCCATGAGAAGGGAGCGTCTGCGCCGAGAGCACGAGCGGCGACTGCGCAAGCGGCCTCATCAAGCTCGTCCCAATCTGCGCCATGAGCCGCAGGCTCTGCCGGATCGGCTTGCGGAGCCGTGTCTGTCCAGCAGTGGACAAACTTGTAGTACGGAGCCACGGCGGCCGGCGACTTGAGCAGCTTGGGTCGCATCTTGGTGGCGATGGCCACGTCGAGGGTGGCCACCACGGGTGAGGCGCTTACCGGTCCGGCTTTAGCCCACAGAGTCTTCGCCGTCGAGAGCGCCGTCGACCGCACCGTGGACATGGGCATGGTGGGGGATGGAAGTGGAGTGTGGTGGTGGGTGTTGGCTCCCGTGGTTGGCTGCGGTTGGGTGGGGCTACTGATTAGAAGGGGGTGGGGGGGAGGAGGGGGGGCGATGGGAATGTAGATGCGAGGAATGAGTGCGATGGGCGGTGGTTGCTGTTGTGTGGATAGCGATGTGCTGTCGTGGGTTGTGCGTTGCGCGAACTGGGTGGTGGGATATGTGTGATGTAGATGAGGTTTTGTGAGCTGAGCTGATCAACGAGCATAGTGATTTGGTTGAGACTGACTGGCCAACAGGTTTGGTTGGCCTGTCGCTGCATCACCCTCCCCCCCACCTCCCCCCCCCAAACTCAACCGCGCCCACCAGCGTGATCGACAGCCGTGCCCAACAGCCATGATCGACAGCCATGCCCACCAGCGTGATCGACAGCCGTGCCCACCAGCGTGATCGACAGCCGTGCCCACCAGCGTGATCGACAGCCGTGCCCACCAGCGTGATCGACAGCCATGCCCACCAGCGTGATCGACAGCCGTGCCCACCAGCGTGATCGACAGCCGTGCTTCACCAGCGTGATCGACAGCCGTGCCCAACAGCCATGATCGACAGCCATGCCCACCAGCGTGATCGACAGCCGTGCCCACCAGCGTGATCGACAGCCGTGCCCAACAGCCATGATCGACAGCCATGCCCACCAGCGTGATCGACAGCCGTGCCCACCAGCGTGATCGACAGCCATGCCCACCAGCGTGATCGACAGCCATGCCCACCAGCGTGATCGACAGCCGTGCTTCACCAGCGTGATCGACAGCCGTGCTTCACCAGCGTGATCGACAGCCGTGCTTCACCAGCGTGATCGACAGCCGTGCTTCACCAGCGTGATCGACAGCCGTGCTTCACCAACGTGATCTCCCCGTTTGTTCGCCCACCACGCCCACCTCCCCACACTCAACCGCACTCGACGTGTGCGGAAGGACGGGCTAGTGTCACAATGGCTACGTCACTGGAGGCCATGAATGCCGAGAAAGACCGCCTCAAGGCTGAAATCAAGCGCATGAAGGAGGGTATGTGACCCATGGTGTGTGTGAGCAAGGATAATGAGACAGGGAGCGGGGGGAGGAAGGGAGGGAGGAGGAAGGGGGGGGGGGAGAGGGGACGTACTTTGGTCGTTCCGTTTTTTGCTTCGTCCGCCCAACACACAGCACAGGACCGGGGGAGGAGGGGGGGTGGGGAGGAGGGGGGGGGGGGGGGTGGATGAGAGGGGAGAGAGGGGGAAGGGGGGGCAAGCAGTGGGTGGGTGTAGGTGGGAAAGGGGTCGACTCATGGCTGTGGGTGGGTGGGTGGCTGAGTGGGCAGACGCCAGTGTGTCGCCTGATCAGATCCAGCCAGTCTTTGACAAGTACAAGGCGTTGTCGGCAAAGGTCAAGGCTGCCGAGGCTGCTGCTGCTGCCAACGGTGGCGGTTCCGCTAGTGCAGCAGCACCAGCTGGTGGTGCTGGAGCTGGAGCTGGTGGCGGATCGTTGGAGAACCTCAAGATCAAGTTTGAGGCGGAGAAGAACGCGCTCAAGCAGCACATCAAGGAGTGCAAGGCTGCAAACAAGTCTGCAGCCGACATTGCGCCGTTCTATGATCGGTACACAACGCTGCGGGCGTGGTTGGAGGCGCCGGACATGGCGTCTGTGCCCAAGCTGCGCGATTCTGCCGCTGCGCTCGGCGGCGAGGCCGCAGCAGCCCCGGCCAAGCCCGCGGTCGACTCGCTGACCATGGACCAGCTGGTGGCCGAGAAGAACGAGCTGAAGAACACCATCAAGGAATACAAGGCCGCTGGAAAGGATGCGGCCGAGATTGCGCCGGTCTACGACCGGTACCAGGCCGTTCGCGAACGAATCACCGCTCTCGACGCCGGCGCCGTCGCCTCGCCGGAAGTCACGCCGGCCAAGGCCGCAGGAGCAGCGGCGGCGGCACTGTCACCGTCTCCAGCGCCTGCGCCTGCGCCTGCGCCTGTAGCAGCTGCGCCTGCGCCTGCGCCTGCGCCTGCGCCTGAACCTGCGCCTGCGCCGGCACCCGTGCCGGCACCCGTGCCTGCGGCTGCTGCGACCTCGACGCCTGCGCCCTCTGCTGGGCCTGCTGGCGGAGAGAGCGTCGACACTGTCTTTGCCGATCTGCTGGAGACCTTTGACACGACTTCACAGTTCATCTACGACCAGTACAAGGTGCTCAAGCATGGTAACGACGCCAAGCTCTCGCAGCACCTCGGGCCAAAGTTCCGCGACGTGGCCAAGACCGTGTTCAAGACCAAGAAGATCAAGTCGATGGTCGGCCCCGAGTTCTCGGACCAGATGTCCAAGCTCGAGGCAACCCTGCCGCCGCTGATGGAGACGCTCTCGCAGCTGGGCCATGACCCGAAGTGGGCGGTGTTTGGGCCCAAGGCCAACGAGATCACCACCCTCCGCGGATCGGTCTTCAAGGTCATGGGCGCCCACCTCCCGCTCAAGGACGGCGACGTCGCCGGCGCTCGTGCTGTCGCCGACGTCTTCAAGGCCGTCGTCGAGCTTGTCCAGTCGTGCTCGGCTGCCTGCTCGCAGGCCATTGTGGCTGCATCGTGAGGGAACCCGTCAGGTAAACAAGCTGTGCGGCTCGGCTCGGTCCCTCGCCACACCTCTCGCTGCAGCCGCGCATCACTGGCATGGCCTCCCGAGTCTTCGCCGACCTGGCTTTTGGCCCCAAGATCGTCATCCCTGCCGCACACGTCTTCTACGTCTCGCCTTCGGGCCTCTCGGCCGCCTTTGTCAACCTCAAGCCGCTGGTCAAGCACCACGTGCTGGTGGTACCGACCGCACCCGGCGCCCGGTTGACCGACCTCGCGCCGGAAGCCATGTCCGATCTCGCCCTCGCCGCCCAGCACGTCATCAGCGTCTTTGGCACCCGCCTCGCAGAGCCAGGCGCTCTCGAGCCGCCGCCGTTTACCTGCGCTGTGCAGGACGGTGCCGGCGCCGGACAGACCGTCGCCCACGTCCACTTCCACCTCCTCCCGCGGACGCCGGGCGACTTTGACCGCAACGACGACGTCTACACTGCCCTGGATGCTCCAGACAGCGAGCGCATGCCTCGGTCCTTTGACGACATGGCTGCCGAGGCTGCCGAGCTCCGGTCCTGGTTTGAGGCCGTAGAGCCCTCGCCAGCCGCCGCTGCACACACCCAGTAAGATACCCAATGCAGGAAGGGGCGGCATGGGCTGATGGGGGGCAGGGGCGGGGTGTGTGTGTGGGGGGGGAGGGGGGGAAGATCGTGAATGAGTGCATAGCGATGGTGGATGCGTGTGGGCGCGTATGTGTGTGTGTGTGTAGGGGGAAGCTGGGCGCCAGACGACCAGCGGATGCTACCACAGAGATAAACTGCGGGCAGCTGTGGCTTGTTGACAACTTGGTTCTCTTTGTGTGTTTAGTTGGCGGCCTTGGCAGCGGCGGCCTCCTCCTGAGCGCGGGCACGGTTGGCCTGCTGCATGGCGCGGAGCGCAGCGCCCATCTCGTCACGCTTGCGGAGGGCACGGGTGTGGGTGCCGAGCTATGGGGAAGACAAGGAGCAACAGCGTGAGTCATGAGCAGAGGAAGGGAGGGTTGGAGGGGGAGAGGGTTGGAGGGGGAGGGAGGGAGGGAGGGAGGGGGGACGAGGAGGGGTACATGGTCGGGGTCCGACTCCCGTCGTGGTCGGGCGAGCCGGCGGGAGAGCCGCCACAGCAGGGGACAACGAGGGGGGGGCCAGAGACGGAAGAGGCGGGAAGAGAGGGGGGGGAGGGGCAGGGTATGACGTACGCGCTTCTTGGCGAACTTGAGGGCACGCTTGTCGTGGCCGACACGCAGGAGCTCCATGATGCGGCGCTCGTAGGCGGCAAAGCCGGAGACCTCACGGATGACCTCGCGAACAAACTTGGTGCGCTTGCCGAGGACGCCCTTGCGGTCCTTGGAGGTCTTCATGGGCTTGATCTTCTGGACGGGGTACCCGCGCTTGAGGCCGACGGCGATGTTCTTCACCATGGTTCTGTGCGAGGTGTGGTGTGTGTGGTGAGTATGGTAGCCGTGGGTGTGGCTGTCGGGGGGTGGCTCCACCTCTCCGAGTCATACAAAAACTACAGAAAATGGCCTGCGCCACACAGAGGCCACAGCAAGCACAGCCAAGCCCAACTTTGAACCAAGGCCATAGCCATCCCCACCATACCTCTGTACACCCCTAGCTCCATCCTGGAGCTCTCTATCTCCATTTCCTCTTGTCCTAGCCCCTCTGCCAGTGCCCACTCCCTCCCCCCCAAAACTGATGCTCACTGATGTCGCGAACGTACGTCTGTGTGGAGTGTTGCCTCTTGACGAGAGTTTATCGATAATCGCCGTATTTCGCCAATGCTTGCTCTCGCCCGACGAACGAGTGCCACCCGGTCTCAGCCCCCACCCCCTTCCCTACCTCCCTCCGGCCGCTTCCTCTCTCTCCTCTCCTTGCCATGCACACGATCGCACATGGCTTACTTGATCGCATTGAGGGCACCACGATGACCAACTTCCCCGCAACCTGCCCACCACCATTAATCGTTGCCCACCACCATTAATCGTTGCCCACCACCATTAATCATTGCCCACCACCATTAATCGTTGCCCACCACCATTAATCATTGCCCACCACCATCAATCATTGCCCACCACCATCAATCGTTGCCCACCACCATCAATCATTGCCCACCACCATCAATCATTGCCCGCCACCATTAATCGTTGCCCACCACCATTAATCATTGCCCACCACCATCAATCGTTGCCCACCACCATTAATCGTTGCTCACCTCCAATCGTTGCGATTCGATTCCCCTCGCACACGCACCCCTCTCCCCCACCCCCCCCCCTCTCGCCCCCCCCCCCCCCCGCTCCCTCCACGCGCCCAACCCCGCCTCCTTTCACAATGTCGCAGGGCTACGTGCGCGACGCGGACAAGCTTGTCAATGGTTGTGTGATGGTGGCTGCTGCGGCTGCTGCTGCTCTGGCGCCGCATCCTGGGACACCGACGGCGGGTGGCGTGGCCGACCTGTCGACGACGTATGTGGAAGCCCGGGCTGCAGCCCGCAAGGCGCTGGGCTCGGCAGCAGAGGTGCGGAGCCTCTCGAATGTAGTCTTCAATGTCTGTGTCCGTGAGCACGGTGCGCAGCTAGTGTGCGTCCTCGTCGACGTTGTCACCGCTATGCTCACCCGGTTCGTGGGAAACTCGCCAGGCGCACCTGCGCTGATGGCCTCTGACGCCGAGGCGGCGCTGGGCGTGTATGCGGCGCTTGCCGGTGCTGTCGATGCCATCGATGAAAACATCCTCATGCATCTTCACGATTATATCGCGTCCGAGGCCGGCTCGGCCGTCTCGGTCAACTCACCGCTCGAGCTCGACTCGTTCCTCAACGACGATGGGACCCGCAAGCCGCATCCCTCCATCTCGCCCGATGCCGACGGTTCGGAGGACGACGTCTTTGCCGCCGTCGGCTCTGTCCCGCGCCTGGTCAACATCATGCCGCTCCCTAATTGGGTTGCTCAGCTCTTTGTCTCGGTCGCCCTCCCGGGCATCGACCCGACCGGCCTGCGCGCCGCCGTCGACCGCGCCTCGGCTGACGCCGCTCTGCCGGCCGCCGCCAAGCTCGCTCTCGATCTCCTCATCTCGTTTGTCTAGCGCTCCCTCTCGCATGTTAAAGCCATCTCTGCCGACGGACGCATGAGGGGAGGGAGGGGGGGAGGGGAGGGGCTAAGATCGCTTTACTGGCGTGCCAGCCACTTGTTGTGCTTCTTGACGTGGGTCTTGAGCTGCTTGGTCAGGTTCTTGAGCTTGGACTTTTTGAGCGGCTCGCCGTCAGCGTCGGCGGTGGGCATGCCGCCATCGTCAAAGGCCGAGAACTGGCCGTCAAACTCGGGGAGGCGGAAAAAGTCGGCCGGCGGGGTGCTGTCGCGGGCATCGCGGGCAGCCTGCTCGGCGGCCCTTGCGGCGGCCTTTGCGGCGGCGTTGGCCTCACGGGCAGCGCGGGCAGCGCGGCGCTCGTCGCGCTCGGCGAGGAGAGTCTCGCGGTCGTCGAGCTTGACGATGGCCACCCCGGTGTCGCGGTCCTCGAGGCGGACGCCGAGTTCGGGCAGGATTTCGTCGCGGAGCTCGTCGCAGAGTGCGAGGAGCTCGCCGGGTGAAGCCTTGGCGCGGGCGCCGGCCCGAACAGCGTCGCGGAACTTGGAGAGCGTGGTGAGGATTTCGACGACCACCGACGACGAGCCAGCGTCGCCGGTGCCGGCGAGCGCGCCGCTGCCAAATCCGAACCCGGTCTCCACCGTGGCGTAGAGCGGGTCGATGACGCCAAAGACGCCGAGAATGCGGGCGACAAAGCGGGCGGCCTGCATGAGGAGGTACGACTTGACGCCGGCATCGCCCACGGCAGACCGGTACACGTTGACGGCCGAAATGAGGTCGGCGAGAACGTGCATGGTTTTGGGCGTGTCGAACGAGTCCTTGAGCGCGGCGTCGACGTCGGCGGTGGCCGCCGCGATGGCGCTCTCGAGGGCAACCTCGGCGTCGCCCCACTTTTGCGAGCGCGCCGGCGTCTCCTCGCGGACAAGCGTCGACACGTTGAGGAAGAACTCACGGAGCTTCTTCTCCATGTCCTTGGCGTGCTGCATCGAGTTGTTCGAGTAGTCGAGCCCGCCCTCCCACGAGTGGAGGAGGAAGAGGAGGCGGATCTGCCGGGCCGAGTAGCTCTCGAGCGCCTCGCGGATGGTTTGGAAGTTCTTCAGCGACTTGGACATCTTGGAGCCGTGGATGTGCAGGTGGCCGGCGTGCAGAAAGTAGGAGGTCCACTGGTGGCAGCCAAAGTAGGCCTCAGACTGCGCCAGCTCGTTGTCGTGGTGCGGGAACTTGAGGTCGACGCCGCCGCCGTGAATGTCGAGGTGGTCGCCGAGAATGGCGCCGGCCATGGCCGAGCACTCGATGTGCCAGCCCGGGCGGCCGCGGCCCCACGGCGAGTCCCACGCCGGCTCGCCGGCCTTGGACGCCTTCCACAGCGCAAAGTCGGCGAGCGACCGCTTCTCCGAGCTTGAGTCTGCCGCCAGCGCGCCCTCGCCCTCCGCGAGCGCCTTTGCGTTGTCGCGCATCTCCGGCGCGAGCTTGGCATACACGTGCCCAGCGTCCATGAACGAGCCAGTCGCAAAGTAGACCGAGCCATTCGAGACGTACCCGAGCCCGCGCTCCACAATCTTGGCCGTCATCTCGATGATCTCGTCGACGTACTCGGAGACGCGCGTGAGCGCGTGCGGCGGCCGGACACCGAGCGCCTCCATGTCCTCCAGGTACTCGGTCTCGTACTTACGAGTATGCGCCGCAAAGATGTCGAGGTCGGTCACGCTGGCCCCCTTGGCGGCGTCGAGCCAGACCGCAAGCACGTCGCGGGCAGCGTCAATGGCCTCACCCGCTCCACCGTCCGCAGCAAGGCTAGCCAGCCCAGCCTCGGCCGAGCTCTTGGTAGCCGCGAGCAGCTTTGCCTTGGCCACAGACTCGGGTGTCTCCTGCTCCGCCAGCTCGGCGGCCTTGGCCTCGAACCCGTAGCCCTCGATGGCGGCGGCAATGTCGGCAGCGACGTCGGGAACAGAGCCTACCAGCGCGGCGGCCTTGTACTCGTCGAAGAGGTAGTTCTGCCGGGCGCGGAGAATGATCTTGTCGTCAACGTCGGTGATGTTCATGACCGCGTGCACGTCGTAGCCAAAGTAGTCCTCCAGAATACGGCGGATGATGTCAAACGAGAGGTACGCGCGGGCGTGGCCAAGATGTGCCGAGTCGTACACTGTTGGCCCGCAGATGTACCAGTTGACTCGGTTGCCGTTCTTGGGCACAAACGCATCCTTGTTCTTGGTCAGCGTGTTGAGGACGTGCAGGCCCTTGTAGCCCGATCCGACCGCATCCTTATCACCCGGCGGTGCCCAATGATTCTCGTTGCTGTTATCGGCCATAAAACTGCTGCTCTCGGCCACAACGACCCCATGAGTGCATTCCACGTTCACATCCATCCGTCGGCCGACCGCATCCGTCCGCCCAACAACGCCCAGCGAGGTTGGCAACCAAGCCGTGGCCGACGATGCCCAAGCCGTTCCCCACGGTGAGTACCCACTACTCCCCGAAGTAGCTCCATTGCGCCAAGAGCCATGCCAGTACGGCAACGAGTACCATGCCTGTGCAGGAGTGAGCCACAGCAGTGGGTTGGTGGTGGTGGTGGTGGTGGTGGTGGTGGTGGCTGGCCCTGGCAAGCCTCCATTCGAACCATCCACCGAAGCCACTCGCCTGCCGAAGTGACTCACCTGCCAGGGCATGCGCATAGCAGCAGAGGAAGGGAACGGGAAGGGCAAGGGGCAAGGAAGAGGGGAGATAAAAAGGAGAAGAACCACTTGGCCCATAGCCCCAGTTAAAACCCCAGCTGCCCTGCATTGGCCATGGCTCTCCCATCGGCTGTTTGTACATACGTTGTGGTGCGAGAAGTGGGACAAGAACTGGGGAGGGTGGGGAGGGGGACAGGGGGGGGGAGGGGGAGGGGGAGGGAGGGGGAGGGGGAGTGACTCGGTCGACCACATGGCTGACCTTCATCCGATCGGGGCGAGAGGTGAGGGTGTGAGGGTGGGCTAAGAGGTGGATTGGGCATACGTGTGCGTGTGCGTGTGCGTGTGTCTGTGCGTGTGCATGTGTGATACAGATGGGGGTTAATAGAGGTGATGATGGCGATGATGGCGATGACGAGGGGGGGGGGGAGGGCATAGCCATCAGCCTCCTCGCTGGCATGGCCAGTAGCAGCGATAGCGGCGATGCCATCGATCAACAGCTGTTGATGGTGAGAGGTTGATGATGGTGATGGATGGTAATGAGGAGTCATGGGTGGTGATGGGTGATCTTGGGGTGATCCCAGGTGTCTCTTGCGGTGGGCAGTGGCTTTGGCTTGGCCCTGGATTGACTCTGGCTTGGCTCTGCCTTGCTGGCGCTGCCTTGCTTGACTCTGGTTTGCAACCACTTAACTCGTTGAGCAACTAGGTGCTCACTCCCTCTCCCTCCCCTCCTCCGGCATCACTTGACGCACCACCACCACCACCACCACCACCAGCAGCACATGCTCCCGTCACAGAAGAGTGGACGGGTGTTCCAGGCACAGCGTGGGAGACCTCTTCTCAGCCAGCGGAACATGGTCCTGGGCATGGTCGTCCTCCTCGGCCTCTACCTGGTGAGCAACCTGTACAGCTCGGGCGGTCTCGCTGGCACGGGTCGTGGGCAGAGCGGAAGCCACCTGGACAAGGATGCCCGCATTGTCATTCTCGGTGCTGGTGTGACTGGTCTCGGTGCTGCCTACCGTCTCAATGAGCTCGGTCACCGTGACTGGGCCGTCTATGAGATGGCCGACAAGCCCGTTGGCCTCGCTCAGTCGGTTGTCGATGACCAGGGCTTCACCTGGGACATCGGTGTCCATGTCCTCTTCTCGCACTTTGGCTACTTTGACACGCTCCTCGGTAGGTGCCCTTCTCCCCCTCCCCTGGCGTCGCATCTCCTCCTCTGATTCCTCACTCACACCGATCCACAGACGCCCATCTGCCGGTCGACGAGTGGCAATACCAATACGGGCGTCGCCGATCTACATGCGCGATCGGTTTGTGGGCTACCCGCTGCAGAACAACGTGTGGCGGCTGCCGCCGGCCGATGCGGAAAAGTGCCTCGTCGGCTTGCTCGAGGTCCACGACGATGCCGTGGCTGGTGTGACCAAGCCCAAGCCGCACACCTTTGCCGAGTGGGTCGATCAGTCGTTTGGCTCGGGCATCGCCGAGGTCTTCATGACTCCGTACAACTTCAAGGTATGGGCCCATCCCACCACCGAGCTCAACCCGACGTGGGTGGGCGAGCGGGTGGCAACCATCGACTTTAAGCGCATTCTCTCCAACATGGTCAACGAGTTTGAGGACGTCCACTGGGGGCCCAACGCCCGGTTCCGCTACCCATCGCGTGGAGCAGGCAAGATCTGGGAGAATGTCTACCGCGGCCTCCCGCGGTCGCGGTTTAACTTTGAGATGGAGGCTCTCGAGATCAACGTCGACGACCCGAACAACAAGTACGTGGCCTTTGCCGATGGGACCCGCGTCCCGTTCGACGCACTCATCTCGACCATTCCCATGGACAAGCTGCTCACTCGCATTGCCAACCGGCCGGACCTCGCCGCGTGGGGCTCAGAAAAAGGCGCGTTCAAGCGGCAGACCGTCAACCTGGTCGGGGTCGGGGTCGAAGGCATCACGCCCGCAGCGTGGAACTCCTCGCACTGGATCTACTTTCCCGAGGAGATCTACCCGTTCTACCGCATCACGCTCCTCACCAACTTTTCGCCGTACATGGTGCCCAAGCCTGGCGAGCAGTACTCGGTCCTGGTAGAGGTCTCCGAGTCCAAGTACCGCAAGGTCGATCAGGCGACGCTCGTCGACGACGTCATCGCCGGCCTCAAGCACGCCGGCGTCATTCCGGACGGCGCGCCGATTGTCTCGCGCTGGCAGGAGCGGTTTGACTATGGCTACCCGGTGCCGTACGTCGAGCTCACCGAGCACGTTCTCCGTGCCAACGACGAGCTGCTCCAGCTCGGCATCTGGTCGCGCGGTCGCTTCGGCAACTGGCGGTATGTGACGGGCAACCAGGACCACGTGTGCATGCAGGGTGTGCAGGCCGTGGACAACATCCTGTTTGGCGACTACGAGGAGATTGTGTACGAGCCCAACGTGGTCAACGGCAAGAAAGGCCAGCGCAAGATTCTCCCGCCTGAGATCAAGGACCATTGGGATGTAGTCATCCCCGGCTGCATCCCCGACCTCGCCGCTTGGCTCGCGCCGCTCCTCGACGACCTCGCCGCCGCTGACATCGTCCCGCGGGTCTTTGTCTACTCGTCCTGCAAGTCGGATGGTGGCCTGCCGGACACGCTCACCTCCAAGTACGACATCCGGGTGGCGTCTGCGCCCACGTCGTCGGCAAACACCGCCAACCTCGTCACCTACGCCTCGCATGTCCTCGCTAACTACGATGATCTCAACCCGATCACCTTTTTCCTGCCCGGCGCTGCAACTATGGGCGCCTCACTCACCCATCCCTCGCCGCACGACTTTGACATCACCTCGTCGTACGAGAACCGCGGCCACTTTATGTACCAGAAGGCTTCTGGCGTCACCGATCCGCTCTTCTGCACCTTCTTTGAGGCCCTCTACGCCTTTGATGGCCTCGACTGCCCTACCGCCTTTGAGTCGGCAGCCGCCTTCCACATCTCGCGCGGCACCCTCCTCCACCTCTTGCCTCAGGACTACCAGGCTTTGCTCATGCTCAAGCATGCGTAGCAGGCTTCCTATCGCCGAGCCCAGCTCGTCGCCCATCACCAAGTCTGCCCGTCGCCCAACCCATCGCCAATCGCCGAGCCCTTTGCGAGCAAACACCAGACTCTGTCCCTCCACCCCCCCACCCCCCCCCCCCCCCCCGATCCAACCCAACTCAGCCGGCCTTCCCTCGCACCCCCCCCCCCCCACCTCCACCCTCACTTCACTCCACACCACTCCATGTTCCGCTCAGCCCAGCTTGCGCTTCGTAGCGGCACATCCATGTGCGCCCACGTGCCGTCGCCACGGGTAGGGTGCGTGCTGGCCAAGAGAGCAGCAAGCGGTGCGGCAGTGACGCGAGGTGGCGTGAGCGTGAGCGACGACGGGGTCATCGCGGTAGCGGGCTTGGGGGAGATCCCGGGTGTGGCTGCTCGTGACTGTTGCCCATGCACAGAGTGTCGTCATCCAGAGACGCATCAACGGATGGTGGCAACCCACACGCTGGCGCGCGAGGCGGTGAGCCCGGCTGATGCAGAGATGGGCGACGACGGCGGAGTGGTCGTCACCTGGGGAGACGGCCATGTCTCGCTCTATTCAGCTGGCGAGCTGCCGGCGGTGTTTGGAAGCAATCGAGTGGCGGCTCGTCAGCCAATGCCGGAAGGAGTGGGGATCTCGCGCAGCGGTGGAAGCCCCGCGGCCGGTGACATTCCGCTGGAGCAGCTGGTGGCATCTGGTGCGCTGGAGATCGATGCCGGGTTGGGCCAGGAGCAGTACACCGAGCAGGTGCTCGACAATCTGGCGGCGTACGGTCTGGCGTTTGTCACCGGGGTTGAGCCATCGGCAGCGGCGACCCGTGCCTTGCTCGAGGGCATCTGCTTTGCGCGGGCGACCCACTACGGCGACTTTTGGGACTTTACTGCCGACCTGGAGCATGGCGATACAGCGTATACCAACCTCGCCCTCCGCCCGCACACCGACGGCACGTACTTTACCGATCCGCCGGGAGCCCAGATCCTGCACTGCCTCGAGCACGACGGTAGTGGCGGCGACTCGGTCATGGTCGACGGCTTTGCGGCGCTTGATGCGCTTGCCGCCGCCAGGCCTGACCACTTTGATCTGCTCTCTTCGACGCCGCTGCGGTGGACCTATGTCGATGCCAATGACGTGTACTCTGCGGTGGCGCCGGCTGTGACCACCGACGCTGCGGGTGCACTCCGACAGCTGCGGTTCAACAATGACGATCGCGATGGCTTCCCCGACGGCGACGCGTCCACCGTTGCTGCGTACTACGAGGCGTGGACCCACCTGATGGGCCTCGTCAACGACGCCAACGCGCCCTGGACCGCCACCTTCAAGCTCCTCCCGGGCACCGTCTGCTTCTTCGACAACTGGCGCACCCTTCACGGGCGAACCGCCTTTACCGGCAAGCGCCGCCTTGCCGGCGCTTACTACTCTGCGCAGGATCTTGCCTCGCGGCATGCCCGCATCAAGCGCGCTTAAATCACTTGCCCTACACCACCAAGCAGGTCTACCAGTCCCGCCCCCCCCCCCCCCTCCCCCCTCATTCTTTGCCCTCTTCAAGCCGAAAAAAGGTAGAATCTTCCCCCACCCATCTCTCTCCGCTTCTCAGTCGGCCGCCATGTCCAGCCGCCGCACCCGGAGGACCAACGCAGGCCAGCGGAGTGGCGCGTCCAAGCGACAGCAAGCGCTCGAGCGCATGGCTGCGCTCAAGGCTGGTACCTCTTCCATTGCAGGTGCATATGAGGTATGTCCTCATTTCCTATATCCTTCCTTCCCCCATGGCTATACCCCCCACCACCATGGTAGTCACCGCCCCTCGCCGTGTCTGGCTAAGATTCTACGACCCTTTTTGCTTCGCGGCTGGGAGCAGCTGACGGGGGCTGGTGTGGAGATGAGCGCAACTCACCGAGGATGCTACCCCCGCTACCCCCCCCCCCCCCCTCCCCTCCATCCACCTCTCTGCAGTTGGAGGAGGAGGAGGATGTGTATGAGCAGGTCGACGAGGCCACGTACAACGCTATTGTGGCTGCTCGCCAGGCCGACGACGAGTTTATCGAGGACGACCTGGGTGATGGTGGCTATCGTGAGTCGGGCCTTGAGGTCTTTGACGTCATGGAAGAGGAGGTCCAGGGTGAAGCTCCTCTTCGTCGTGCTCGCAAGGACGCGGCGCCCAAGTCTGGCTTGGAGCGTGCCATGGAGACCTCGGCTCGTCGCCGCGAGGCTGCGCCCAAGCGCCGCATTGCAAAGGCCTTTCTCACCGCCCAAAAGTCGGCCGCCGCCCGTGCCGGCACACGCAAGACGACTGTCACCACCACGGCTGAGGATGATGACGAGTTTGAGGCCATGCTCAACTCACTCGGCGGGACCGGCGCCGGCGCGGCTGCCACCGGCCGCCTCGGTGCTGCTGCGTCGGCTGCCCCGATGGTCGACCCGCTCCTGGCCTCGCGCGTCGACACGGCCGCCGCCCTCGGTAGCGTGAGCAAGCTTGGCTCGACCCGCTTTGCCGCCGACCCGCTCACGGCCTCGCGCCTCACCGCGGCGTCGGGCTACGGCTACGGCGATGTCGACTACGACGCCGTCCTTCCGCCCGTCTCCAAGTCGCGCCCGCCGGTTGTCGACGACGACGGAGGCTTTGCAGACGACGACGGCACCGCAGACATGGAGCTCGAGGCGCCGTCGACGCCGCCGCGGGCGTCTCAGGACGAACCGCTCACCGAGGCCGCCGCCAACACGCCGGAGCGCTCGCCAAAGAAGCGGCGGACGGCGACGGCGACCGACACCGCCAACGCTGTCTCGCCCGAGCCGATCGACGCCGGCGAGGTGCTTCCGGTGGCGCCGGAGCGCTCGTCCAACGTCGCGGTCCGCTCGTCAAAGCCCAAGCTCAAGAAGCGCCGCAAGCGGGCACCCGAGCCCAACGCTGCCGCCCTTGGCTCTGAGGACCCGCTCGCTGGCAACGCCGCCGGTCCGCAGTACGTCGGCCAGTCGCTCGCCGGCTCGGGCGGCAACGACTGGTGGTCGGTATGCTCGCGCGACGACGAGAGAGCGCCGGCGACGGGCCAGGAGCCGGTGCCCGGCGCGGCGGCGCCGATGGCCATCGGCGCGTCGGCCAACGCCGTCCCGCGGCGGCCCGACGGTACCGTCCTCTTCTACTACCTCGACGCGTTTGAGGAGAAGTACAAGCGGCCCGGGACCGTGTACCTTGTAGGCAAGGTTGCCGCGCCCGGCTCGAACAAGTACGCCTCGGTCTGCGTCACGGTGCCGGGCATTCAGCGCCGGCTCTACGTCCTGCCGCGGGCCAAGAAGCTCTCGCCGGCCGGCATCCCTACCGACGAGGACGTCACCATTGCTGACGTTTACTCGGAGATCCATGCCATGCTCAAGGCCCGCGGCGTCAGCTCGTTTGCCTCCAAGCCGTCCGAGATGAAGTACGCCTTTGAGGAGCCCGACATCCCAGCCGAGGCCACCTACCTCGAGGTCATGTACTCGGCAGCACTCGCCAACCTCGACGACGTGGCCATGACCGGCGGCGCCACCTTTTCGCGCATCTTTGGCACATCGACGTCGGCCATGGAGGCCTTTATCATGCGCAAGCGGCTGATGGGTCCATCGTGGCTCCTTCTCTCTGCCGACGCCGTCGACTCTGGCGCGCGCGTCTCGTGGTGCAAGCACGAGGTCACCGTTGCCGGCCCGTCGCTCGTCTCGATCCCGGGCAACGACATTGCCCTCCCGCCAGCGCTCCCGCCGCTCAAGGTCATGTCTATCTCGCTCAAGACGATCCTCAACCCCAACGCACACGCCAACGAGATCCTCATGGCCTCGTGCATTGTCCACCAAGGCGTCAACATGGAGTCGGCCACGCCCAACCCTGAGGCCGGCATGAACCACTTTTCGGCCGTCCGCCCGCTCTCCGGAAACGCCATCATGACCCCGGCCTCGGGCGTTGCCCGCTTCACCGACTTTGTTCGCGCCAAGGCGCCGCAGGTCGAGGTCTGCTCCTCCGAGCGGGCGCTCCTCAACTACCTGCTCGCCAAGATTCACGTCATCGACCCGGACGTGCTCGTCGGCCACAACATTGTCGGCTTTGACATCGACGTCCTCCTCCACCGTTTCAAGGCGTGCAACATCTCGGCGTGGTCCAAGATCGGCCGCTTCCGCCGCAAGCACATGCCCAAGCTCCAGGCCGGTCCCGGCGGTGCCGGCAACTCGTCGTCGTCGGAGCGCGCCGCCGCCGCCGGCCGCCTCCTCTGCGACACTTGGCTCGGCTCCAAGGACCTTGTCCGCGAGGCCAACTACACGCTCGCCCATCTCTCCAACAAGATGCTCGGCATCACGCGGACACCGATCGACATGTCGACGCTCCCCAGCTACTACGCCACCAACGAGACACTGCTTGACCTCATCCGCCACACCGAGAACGACGCCTACCTCGCAGTCAAGCTCATGTTCCACCTCATGATGATCCCGCTCACCAAGCAGCTCACCGCGCTTGCCGGAAACCTCTGGTCGCAGACGCTCAACGGCGGCCGCTCGCTTCGCAACGAGTACCTCCTCTGCCACGAGTTCCACAACCTCGGCTACGTCCTGCCGGACAAGTTCTGGGCCACCGCCGGCTCGGGTGCCCGCGGCAGCGGCTCGGGCGGCGCCTCGCGCAAGAAGGGCCCGCGCCGCAAGAAGGCAGCCTACGCTGGAGGTCTCGTCCTCGAGCCCAAGCGCGGCTTCTACGATAAGTTCATCCTCCTCCTTGACTTCAACTCGCTCTACCCGTCGATCATCCAAGAGTACAACCTTTGCTTCACTACCGTTGAGCGCGTCAAGCTCACCGCCGTCGACGCCGCCATTGCCGAGAACCTCATTGCCGGCGCCGGCGACGGGACCGAGGCGGACGACATGGCGCTGGCCGAGTCGCTCGAGGCCTCGTCCGCCGACGGCCTCGGTGCGTCGGGCGCTCGCGTGCCCGACTCGTCGGTCTCGGAGGGCGTACTGCCGCGGCTGATCAAGACCCTTGTCGAGCGGCGCTCGCAGGTCAAGGCGCTCCTCAAGTCGGCGACGGACCCGCTGCTGCGGACCCAGTACGACATCCGGCAGAAGGCACTCAAGCTCACTGCCAACTCGATGTACGGCTGCCTTGGCTTTACCTTTTCGCGATTCTACTGCAAGCCCGTGGCGTCGCTCATCACGTCACTTGGACGTGAGATTCTGCAGAACACCGTCGACATTGCCGAGTCGCAGCTCAACCTCGAGGTGGTGTACGGTGACACCGACTCGATCATGGTCAACACCGGGTCGACCAACCTCGACGACGTCCGGGCCATCGGCAAGCAGGTCATGCACGAGGTCAACAAGCGGTACAAGCTCCTCGAGCTCGACATCGACGGCATCTTCCAGTCGCTGCTCCTGCTCAAGAAGAAGAAGTACGCCGCGCTCATGCTCGTCGAGCGCGATGGCGTGCTCACCACTGTCAAGGAGTCTAAGGGCCTCGACCTCGTCCGTCGCGACTGGTGCGAACTCTCCAAGGACGCCGGTAACTTTGTCCTCGACCGCATCCTTTCGGGCTCGGCACGCGATGAGCTTGTCGATACCATCCACGAGTTCCTTCGCAATCTCTCGGAAGAGGTCCGTGCCGGCCAGATCCCGCTCGGCAAGTTCATCATCACCAAGGGCCTCACCAAGGATCCGATGGACTACGCAGACTCCAAGTCACAGCCGCATGTCCAGGTTGCTCTCCGCATGCGCCAGCAGAACAAGCCCGCTCGCCGCGGCGACTACATTCAGTACGTCATCGTCAAGGGCGCGTCCAAGTCTGTGGCCGAGCGCGCGTTTTCACCCGACGAGGTCCTTCGCGCTAACGGCGAGCTCGAGCTCGATGTTGAGTGGTACCTCGCCCAGCAGGTCCACCCGCCAGTCTCGCGCCTGTGCGAGCCCATCGAGGGCACAGACCCGGGTCAGATTGCCGACTGTCTCGGCCTCGACTCGTCGCGCTTCAACCGCGTCTTCTACTCGGAGGGTGCCGACGATCTGTTCCAGGCCGCTGCCGCCGCCTCGGACGCCGTCAAGTACAAGGACTGCCAGCGCCTCCTCGTCCCCTGCCGGACGTGCAAGGCCTCGCACCCGTTCACCGGCCCCTTTGCCGTCAACGATGGCATCATCACCTCGGGCCTCCGCTGCCCGGGCACTCTGCCTGCCGACGACGCGTCTGCCGGCGCTACGCGCCCGTGCACAGGCGTCTTTGACCGCGCAGCCATCGACAACGCCATCACCCGCCAGCTCCGCACCCTGCTCAAGAGCTACTACGCCGCATGGTACGTCTGCGATGACGAGTCGTGCTCCAACCGCACTCGCCAGGTCTCGCTCCGCGGCCACGGCCTGCAGTGCCTTGTCCCCATCTGCACAGGCACTATGCATCCCGAGGTTCCCTCCAAGACTGTCTACCTTCAGCTCCTCTACCTGCAGTCGCTCTTTGACGTCGACCATGCTCTCGACCAGTTTGGCGACGACGACGAGGACAAGGCTCTTGCCCGCCGCGTCCTCTCCCCCGAGGAGACCGATCTCCTCGCCAGCGTCCTCACCAAGGTCCAGGGCGAGCTTGGCAAGTGCGCCTACTACTTTGTTGACGGCAAGGCCATCTTTAGCATCTGTGCATAGATTTTGTGCCCGACACCAGATAAAGTGATCCACTCTCGCATACCTATTTCACTCTGAACCGATCCCTCGGCGGCGGCGGCTACTGTGTCGCTTCAAACTTGCGCATGAACATGACAATCTTGTCGGAGAAGGTCTCGAGCTCGGCCTCGTACTGCTTGATCTTCTCGTTGTGCTCGGCCTGCCCACTCCGGACCAGCTGAAGCGCGTGCTCGGCCACCGCTCGCGCGTCAGCCACCACGCCCGTCAGCTTGGCGCACATCGACGCTAGCTGCGGCGGTGCAGCAACGCGGAGCTGCTCCACCATCGGGAGCAATCGCTCGATCTGCTCGATCGTGGCAGAGACCCCGGCCTCTGGATCGGCCCCGCTGAGCAAGGTCGCAAGCTGATCTTGCGACAACCGCATCGAGTTGAAATCGCTGCTGCTCGCGACCTCTGCTTCACCGGTCTCTCCGCGCCTGGTATCAATCTCCTCGGTCTCGGCCTCGGAGTACTCGTCGTCGCCACCAGGCGGTCCGCTGGCGTCGCTTGTCGAGCCCGAACCAGCCGGCGCTAGCAACGCCGCCAGCGCCTTCATTCGGTCCGCAAGCGACTTGGCCTGCGGCCCGACATTGCTCAGCGTTGCAGAGACCCGCGTCGCAAGATCGCCGATGGCAGACTTGTACTCTTGGTTGCTCTGCTCAAACGACGACAAAATTTGCTGGGTCTCGCCGGCACCGGGCGCGCACTCGGCCTTGACTTTTTCCAGCTTCTCCGTCAGCAGCGCTGCCTTCTTCTCCGATACTCCCATCATCGCCAGCTGGACCTCAAGTACCGCCAGCAGCGTCGTCGACTGCTTCAGCTGCGAGTTACAGTGCTGCTCCACATTGGCCAACATCTCCAGCTGATGCTCGAGCGTGAGGAGTAGCCGCTGCAGCGCTGCCTGTGACGACGCCTGCATCTCAGGCGACGGCGGCGTCGCCAGTGCCTCGTCCTCACGCAGTGCATCAACCTGCACATCTAGCTGCGCGAGCTGAACAAGCACCCGCTCGCGCCGCACAAGCACGCCCTGCATCGCGTGCAGCTGGCTCAGAACCGACGACGCCTCGCGCCGAAGGTGGTCGCACTGCTCCCACACGTGCTGCAGCGCGCCCTCGACACGCCGCACCTCGGCCTCGGAGAGGTTGCCAGCAAGCCGCAGCTTGTTCGCCAGCTCTGAGAGCCGTGACTCGGTCGAGGAGATAGCATCGATGACATCGGTGTGGAGCCGAAGAACGTGCGTGTCAAACACATGTTGCATCGTGCCCAGCCCGCTACCGCTCGCAGCGCGCACCGACGCAAACGCCGGTTCGCCCGCTCGCGCCACCCCCGAGGCGGACGCCGCCCGTCCGCGCCGAAGTGACGTCGGGTGCGAGCCCGAGCCCGAAGAGAGCGAGCCAAACTGCGAGGTCGGCGAGAGCATGGGTGCACCGTTCGGCGACTCGGCCACGCCGTCCTGTTCCGCGGTCCCGGTCTGTGCTAGCGCCTGGACGCGCGCTTCGATCGAGCCGAGCTGCGCGTCGAGCTGCGCTGCGCCCACGCGGCCCAGCGAGCCTGCTTCTTTGGCTGCACTGGTCCGCATCGCTGCGGCAGCGCGCTGGGCGGCTTCGGCAGCCTCTGACATGGCACTGGCCCGGGCATCGAGCTTGTCGACAGCAGCCTCGAGCTCGGAAATCCGCTCGTCGCGCGACGCGAGCTCCTTCTCCAGCCGCGCCCGTGCCGAGACCAACGCTGGCATTGAGAGGTCCGAGTCGACCGGCTCTGTTGCCCGCGGCGCTGCCGCAAGCGCGTCTGCGGTCGACGCCAGCTCGCGCTCGAGCGTGCTGCACTTGTGGCTGAGGTGCGCAACCTGCGCCTCGAGTGCGATTTTGTCGCCGGCAAGCGCGTTGAGCTGGCCCAACAGCTCTTTGGAGGAGAACAATGGTGAAGCGTCGAGACTTGGCTCGGGAATCCGTGTTGTGACCGGTCGCGAGCCGAGCATGCCAGCCGAGAGGACCGACGCCTCGAGCTCGGCATAGGCGGCCTCGAGCCAGGTGTTGGTCGACTTGAGCAGCTCGTTCTGTTGCTGCAGCGCAGCCAATTCCAGTCGCCGCGCCTCCCCCAGCGCCCGATGCCGAGCCGCCTCTTCCGGCTTCTGCAGCCCACTGGCAGCGTCAAGCTGCGCAGTCAGCGCCTCCAGGGAAGCCTCCAGCGCGGCGTACGACCCCGCATACTCGGATGCGTCTGTGCGGGCGCGATGGACGACTTTGTGCGCGTTGTCAAGCAGCATCTGCAAGTGCTTGGCCCTTTGCTCAGCCCGCTCGACAGTGTTCGCTGCAAGGCATGAGCCGGTGCAATGCGAGTTGGCTTCGGCAGAGCCAATCGATGCGTGGGCGTCGTCGACTGACTCGGTCGCCGCCGCCGCCACCTCGTCGGCAGCAGCAGCGGCAGCCTCGGCCAGCGCACGCGCGGTGGCGACTGCGGGAGCTTCGGGCGGCGAGACCAGCTCTGCACGAGCCAGCTTGCCTTCGAGTGCCTTGACTTCGGCCTGGAGCTCATCGTTGGCAGCCGTCGCCTTGGAGAGCTGAGCAGTGAGAGTGGCATTAGCCGTCCGCAGCTTGACGAGCTCGATGTCAGCTTCGTTGGTGACCGAGCCGATGAGATCAAGTTTGTCGCGCTGGGTCGAGATGTGCTGGGTGGCGGCAGCATGGGCGGCGCGGAGCGCATCCAACTCTTCGCTCGCCGCCTGGAGCTGCGCCTCGAGCCGCGCGCTCTCTGCGCCCTTGATCTCGAGAGCATCGCGAGCAGTCTCAGCACTGACGCTCACCGCCTTCAGCTTTGCCCGCGCCGTTTCATACTTGAGTGCCACCGCCTCGAGCTGTTTGAGCACCTCGAGCTGATCTGCCGACATACCGCGGCGTGCAGCGTCAAGCGCGTGCGCCCGAGCGAGGTTGAGTGCGTTGGCCTCCTCCAGCACTGCCACTTGGTGAGCCAATGCATCCCGCTCGGCCACAGTCTCCTCCAGTTCGGAAATGCGGCCCTCCATTAGGCCGTCGTACGCAATCTGCAGCGCATTGTGCTCGTCTTCCAGCTCGCGGAGCGCGGCACACACTTCGTCCCGCTGCGCCTTGGTCGTAGTCAGTGCCGACGAGAGCTTTGATGGCGAGCCATGGGCGGCCACGTGCGCCCGCTCCGCATCCAGCTCGGCTGCCAACTCGGCCGCGTGAGCCCGCGAAGCCTCCAGCTCCGCCTCGGTCACTCCGAGCTGCTCGTCAATAAGCGAGAGGTTGACCTGAAGCGACGCGTTTTCATCGCGTGCCGCGTCCAGCATCCCGCGGAGCTTGGTCACCTGCGCCTCGAGGTGCGATGCCGACTCGAGCTGGGCCATCAGCGAGTAGTGCTTCTCCTTGGCCATGTCCATGCCGTCGGTGGCTCGCGTTGCCCTGAGCTCGGCCACGTGAACAGCATTGCGCAGATCGTCGACGTCAGACTGGAGCCGGAGCTGCTCGTGCCGAGCTTCCTTGGCATCGCGCTTGGCCGCAAGTAGCTGTGTTTCCAAGTCGTCGGCACGTGCATTAGCTGCTGCAAGAGCCTTGTCACGGCTCACCACATCGGCAAGCGCGACATCGTGCGCTTCTTTGGCCTTGGCTGCCGCGAGGCGCGCCTCGTGCTGGCTCTTCTGGATGGCCAGGGTCAGCTCGAGCTTCTCGGCTTCAAAACCCTTAGCCTGCGCTACCAACGAGCCGTTGGCGTCAAGCGTTGCCTGAAGCTCAACGGCAAGGTCGGCATTATCGGTTCGAGCCTTTGTGAGCGCTGCTTCCAGCTCCGAGTTGGTCTTGACGGCATCCTCGAGATCCGCCAGTAGCGCTGCGTTGGTACCCTGCGCTGCTTTGAGCTTGCGCCCGCGCTTCCGAGCTGCTGCCAGCGAGCGGACCGTGGCCGAGTGCTCCTTTTCTAGCGCGTCCAGAATTGACTTGACGGACTCGAGCTCTGCATCAAGGCGCGCGTTTGAGTCCGAGAGCGCGTCCTGGGCGGCTTTGCCCGCATCAGCGCGAGCCTTTGCCTCGGACGCGTCCATGAGCGCGGTTTGGAGAGCGTCGTTGACCTTTTCGAGCTCGGTAGAAAGAAAGGCCACCCGCTCACCTGACGCCTCGAGCTTGTCTTTGTACAGCGCATGGAGTCGGGCGTTTTCGTGCTGTAGATCGCCGCATGCTCGCTCGAGCGACAGCTTTTCCGCTTGCAGGATTTCGAGCTTGGAGCTTGCGTTGGCCAGCTCTTCCTTGTCACTCTCCAGCTGGGCTTCCTCAGACGCAATCTTGGCCTTGAGTGCACCAAGCTCCGAGGTAAGGGCGTTGACTTGCTCGGCATGCGTCAGCTTGGCCTCCATGGCCGCCGACTCGTACTGTGTCCGCTGGTCGGAGAGCCGCGATGCTAGCTGCATCTCGTGGGTGGCGGTGATAGTGGCGAGCTCGGAGCGAACCGAAGCGAGTGCTGACTGCACCTCCTTCAGCTCATGCTCGGCCTCACGACGAAGGCGCGCCTCGAGCTCGCGAGTGAGCGCCGAGTGCTGGTTGCTCGCTTCAGTGAGCTTGTCCTGGTAGTGGGCGATGCGAGCGTTGAGCTCGTCGGCGGCACGAGCCTTGAGCTCGTACACCGACCGGTCATGCTCGGCAACGAGCGCGTCGCGGTCCTGAGTGTGGCGTGAGACCAGGGCCTGCATCTCGCGCTCGTGGCGCTGCTTGCACGCATCGAGCTTATTTTGGGCCTCTGCGCGCGTGGCCGCCAGCGAGGCAGCAGATCTGGTTTTTTCGTCCTCGAGCGCGTCGGCGGCGGCAGCTGCCGCCTTGGCCATCTTGGCCGAGTACTTGTCGGTTGTCGCTGCCAGCTGCGCCGCGAGCTTGGCCCGGTACTCCTCGGCCTGGGCAACGAGTTTGTCGTTGAGAGCCGAGACTTGGTCGTGATGGGCCGCCGCCATCTTGTCCAGCTTTGACTGGTATGACATGTCAACCGAGCGGGAAGAGGTTCGTGACGAGGCAATGAGATCCTCGTACTTGGTCCGCGCCTCGGAGAGCGCCTGCTCCTTCTCGGCCCGGGCGGCGGCAAGCTCGCGACCCGCGCTCCGCTTGGCGTCCTCCAACTTGGCCTCCAGTGACGAAATTGACGCCTCGGCATCCGACAGGGCCTTGGACAGCTGCTCGATCTTCATGGCCTGGGCGCGGGCGGCAAGCGACGACTCGACCGAGTACACAATGTTGCGGGTGGTGACTGTCGAGTCGTTGCCTGTCGCGAGTGTCTCAGTCACTGCGTAGCCCTCGCGCTTGAAGAGTTGCACAAGCTGGGTGATGCGCGAGTTGCGCTCACCGAGCTCGAGCCGGGCGGCCGCCAGCTCGGCAGACGTGTTCTCGAGTGACGAGTTGGCGGAGAGAAGGGCATCGGCGTGCTGCTTGTTCGCCAGCTCGAGGGCAAGGATGTTCTGGCCTGCCCGTTGACTCTCCTGTGAGAGCTCGCCAACCTTGGAGGTGAGCGCTGCGACGTCGTCCTTGAGTTGGGCGTTGGCATTGCGAAGTTGGGACGTTTCCAGCGCAGACATCTCCATGGCATGCTGCGCGTCCTCGAGCTTTGCAGTCAGCGCAGCGAGGGTGGCACGGCAGTCGCGCAGTGCGGCATCCTTGTTTTCCATCTGTGCCTTGGTACCGGCTTTGCCCGAGGTGAGCTTGATGATCTTAGCCTCTAGCGCGGCGTTGGTCTCGAGCGCCGACTCGAGGCGGGTGGCAAGTGTGGCAACTTGGCGCTCGTTGGCCGAAAGCGCACCCTGAGTGTGCTCCTGGGTCCTGGCGAGTGCAGCTGAAGCCGACTCGTGCTCTTGGAGGCGGGTGCGCGCCACCCGCAGTTCGGTCTGGGTCTCATGCAGTTGCGAGGTGAGCGAGGCCTCCGACGCCCGCGATGCTGCGAGTCGCGACTCGAGCAGCGAGATCGTCGCCTGTGCCTCTGTGAGCGAGCCCTTGGCGGTGGCAGTCTCTGCACGAGCAGCCTCGAGAGCAGCCTCCCGCTCAGTTAGCCGCGCCTGGAGCTCGGTGCGAGCAGTGGCGACCGCCGAAGTCTCGGTGGTGGCAGCGCCAATGTGAGATGCGTAGCGCTGGTTATCGGCAGCGCGGGCTGTCCGTTCGCGCTCGAGTTCGTCGCGGAGGGTGACAAGGGCCGAGTCGGCACGGGCCAGCTGGTCCTTGTACGACTCCAGCTGGGTGTTGACGGCAGCCGAGGCGGCCGAGACTGAGGCGTGCGAAGCCCGCTCGGCAGCGAGCTGGGCGTTGACAGCGGCCAGCTCGTTGCGCGCCTCGTCAAGCTGGGCCCGAAGATCAGCTGCCGAGGCGCGAGCGTCGTTGGCGGCGGCCTCGGCGTGAGCAGCGCGGGCAGCGGAGGCGTGCGACTCCTGCTCGGCAGCGACAAGCTGGGCAGCGGACGCAAGTGTCGCTGTCGATGCCCCGGTTTGAGCCGCCGCCAGCTGGTCTTTCAGCTCAGTGATGGTTGTCTGCGCATCCGAAGCCGCTGCCGCGTGCTGAGCAGCGGCCGCATTGGCACGTGCCGTGTCGGCCTGCAGGACGGCAACCGAGTCGAGCGCTCGCTCGGTCACGTTTTGCAGATGCAAATGCTTGGCGTGAAGCTCGTCGTACGCGGCCTGCAACGAGGCCGAGGCTTCGGACCGTTGTGTAAGGTCCGAGATGCGGTCAAGCGCGGCCGACGCAGTGGCCTTGAGTGCTGCATACTCGGCCTTGAGCGCTGCATGCTCCTCTGAGAGGGTGGCGAGCGGATCGAGTCTCTCCTGCAGAACGGCTGTGCGGCCCTTGAGAGCCTCGTGCTGGTTGACGAGCGCGTAGTAGGCCTGCTCCATCTCAGACGCGCGCGCGGCCGCGGTCGAGACTGCGCTCTCGGCTTCCTTGCGGGCAGCAGCGCGTGAGGCAGCAGCGGCATCGGCGGCGGCTGCGGCGGCATCGCGCTCGGCGGCGAGCTTGGACGATACGGTGGCAAGCTTGGCGTCGACGTCATCGGCGCGGGCGTTGGCTGCGGCGGCATCGCGCTCGGCTGCGGCGGCATCTCGGCGCGCGGCATCAAGCGCGCGAGAGAGCGAATCCAAATCGGCTTCGGCGCCCGACATGGCGTTAGTAGCAACACACCGCGACTGAGCAGCCTCTTCCTTGAGCGCTTCGTGGGTGGCGACAAGCGCGAGATGAGTCGCCATCAGCTCATCGTAAGCGACTTGCATAGACGAGGCGACAGCGACGGCCAGCTCGGCCTCGAGTGCCTCCACGCGGGCGCCCAAGAGAGCAATGGTCTCGTCGCGTGAGGCCAGAAGGCCTTGCGCCGACGCTGCGGCCTGGGTGGCGGCCTCCTCGCTGGAGCGAGCAGCCTCAAGCTCACGCTTGAGCTCGTCGTAGGTGAGCGGGACGCCAGTCGCCGCCACATCGGCGGCAATCTGCTCAGCAGTGATGGCATCAAGCAGTTCCACAACGTCGTCCGGCAGCTGATCAGTCGGCAGAGTATCATGCGGCGAGGCAGCAGCAGTAGCGAGGACTCTGTCGGCGAGGGCACGTAGGCCGTTCTGCAGCTTGGTCTTGTGGGCCGACAGCAGCCGGACTGAGTCTTCAGCCCTCCGCAGCTTGACCAGAGTAGCATTATGCGTCCGCGAAAGTGCAGCCAACTTGGATTGCGCAGCAGCCAGAGCATCCACCAGCTCTGCATCATGTGGAAGAGCGCCACCACCAGCACCAGCACCATGTCGGTCTTCGGCGTTTGGCGGCAGGTTCTCCACGCCGTCGTCGACGGCTGGAAGCAGGGCAGACGACATACCTCCTCCAGCAGATGTCAACCACGAGTGTGTGTATGTGTGTGTATGAAAGAAGGCTATACCGTGTCGTGCCGTGCCGTGTATGTGGTGTATGTGTGTGTGGGGGGGGGGGGGGGGGGGCTGCGTCGGGTGGTTGGCCTCGTTGGCGCCAAAAGGTGACACAGTCGGTCAATGGTCATGTTTTTCAAATGACTGCAACACGCACGCGCTTGCTTGCCGGCCGAGAGGTCGCTCCGATGGCTTTTCGGCTTGAGAGCTATTTACTGCACTGACCATCCTTGCCATCACATCGTAGCAATTGGCAAGATGGCCCGCGTGTACATGAGCGCCCGTCGATAGCTCGCGTACACCCGAGATGAAGGTTAGAATTGGGCGCTCAAAGAGCCGCCCATCGCCGTTGTTGCAGTTCGTCATCAAACGATTGGGTGGGTGGGCGGCTTCCCGCTCCTCTGAAGCCGATTGTGTTGACGTCATCGAAGCTTTGAGCGATGTATGGTGTCGCCCAGCCGATTGCGAGCGTCCGCAGTCGTGGCATCATTGAGCATTTCATGACCATGACCTTCTTTCAATGGTTCCCATGGATTAATGGGTGGTCACGTCTGCTGGCCAACTCGGTCGGCGACTTGCATCACCATCAGCGCACACTGTCATGGCTCTTGGTCGTGTGCTATCCTTTCGTGTAGGCTACTTGTCGCTTCGTTGTTTCGAGAGGAAGGGCATGGATGACGTTGGGGAGGATGCTGTGGGTGTGGGAGGCGAGAATGGTCCTGGAGAGGCGGTGGGGAGAAAGAGGCCGAGGAACGAGCTTGACGGGCTGAGCTCGCCTGAGAACAACGACAAGGGCGACGACGAGGGAAGGAGGATCAAGAGGGGGAAGCAGCTGGTGAGGGGAGGTGCTGGCAGTGGGCGGGCCGGGAGCGGGCGAATGCATCCGCGGAACTTGTATCGGGAGCTGGATCGAAGCTTTGAGGAGCTGGCAAGTGCTTATCCGCCGCTGTTAGAGGTGCTCGACCACGGGATGGTGCGGTTCTCGGATCCGACTGCGCTACGGATCTTTACACAGGCACTGTTTGCGGTCGATTTTGGCCTTCGGGTTGAGCTCCCGCCTGCGCATCTTTGTCCGACTCTGCCGTCGCGGCTCAACTACTTGCTGTGGCTGGAAGATCTTGTGGAGAGCGGGCGGGAGGTGCAGGGCCGAGACAGCAAGATTTGGGCGCTGGACATCGGCGTTGGCGCGTCGGTGGTCTACCCCCTGCTGGGTGCGACGGCACTTGGATGGTCGTTTGTGGGGACCGAAGTTGACAGCAATGCGCTCGAAGTTGCAAAGGCCAACGTGGCAGCCAACGCCGACGTGCTGGAGGCCAAGGGCGTCGAGACGGTGCTCGTGGCAGCGGCAAGCGAGAACGAGCTGCTGCAACCGGCGATGGAGGCGGAAGGCGCACCGGCGATGTTTGGCGTCACGCTCACTAACCCGCCGTTCTTTGACGAGCCGATGGATGCAGGCTCTTGCATTGGGTCGGCGACCGAGCTGGCGACAGCTGGTGGCGAGGTGGGATTTGTGGCGAGGCTGGTGATGGACTCTGTGGTGTACCGGGCCCGCGCGGTGTGGTTTACCTCGCTAATTGGGATCAAGGCCTCCTTGGCGCCGTTGCTGGACCTGCTGCACCACGGGCTGCCGTTTGCAGTCCGGGTTGTACACACCGCGCTGTACCAGGGCCGAACGACGCGGTGGGCGATTGGATGGTCGTTTGTCGCGGCCGATGGCTCACCGGTCCCGGCGCGGGAGCCTGGCCTCCCGGCGCGTGTTGTACCGGTCCAGCTCGACGACGAGGGCGATGAGAAAGAAATGGCTGTGCTCACCGCACTCTCGGCAGCGCTGACAACGCTGAACGTTGCGCACGAGCTCGAGATTGACGAACGTCGCAGCAACGGTGGGGGTGGTGACGACGAGCTCGCGCTCTGCATCAAAGGTTCGGTCGTCCGCCGCGACGGAGCAGCCGAGCACGATGACGGTCGTCTGTTTGATTTCGTGGCGAGGGCTACGCCCGATGCTGCGAGCGTGAGCGTGGCCATGGCGGGACATGATGCAGGGCGGGCACGGCGGATGGCGGGCTTCTTTGATGCGTTTGTGGAGGTAGTTGCGGGCAAGCTGCGGTAAGGGGCGCGGTTATTGCATGGCCAGCTGCGCCTTGAGCTGCGCAATTTGCGAACCATACTCGCGGGTGTTCTCGACGAGCTGGGCCTCGAGCGAAGCGGCGCGGGCCTCGGAGGTCTCGGCGCGCATGAGGAGGAGGAAGCGGTCCTTCTCCAGCTCGCCCATGCCTGCGGTGGAGAGCACCTTTTGGAGGTCGGTCTCGAGACGGTGGTTCTGGCGGGTGAGCTCCTCGATGCGGAAGCGGAGCTGGATGACCTCGCTCGAGTTGGTGGTGGACATCTGCATGCCGGCCGACGGGCCGGGCGGCATCGACTGCAGCTGGAGCGACATCTCGCGAATTTGCGACTGGAGCGAGTGGATCTTCGAGTTGGCAGCGGAGAGTTCGTTGCGAAGGGCAGCAGTTTCGGCAGCGTCTGCGCTGGTGGACGAACCCCGGCGCTTGTCGAGGGCCGGCAGTGGCTCGGCGCGAGACGGTGGGCGCGGGCGGGCGCGGGCAGACGCGGCGCCGTTGGCTTCGACAAGATGTTCGAGCCGGGCGATGATGGTTTCCTGGTCAGCGATGACTTGCTTGAACTTGTTGACCGAGGAGTTTTCAGTCTGGAGCTGCATGATAAATGCAGCCTGCGCAGTATGAGCCTCTTCAAGCTCGAGGTAAGACTTCTCGGCCTCGTTGTGCTTGATAACGGCGTTCTGGAGCTTCTCGACCCGCAGTTGGTTCTCCTGGAACCGGCGCATGTCGGCCTTGTAGCGACGGGAGAGCGCAATGTGGCGGCGGACGAGCTCGTCGTGGTCGAGGCCGTCGACGCCGCGGGTCTCGGCGTTAGAGAGCGCGTCGGCGTGGCGGTCCTCGAGCTGGGTGGAGAGCTCGGTGATCTGGACCCGGAGCATGGTATTCTCCTTGCGGAGGCGCATGACGTCGGCACCGAGAGTCTTGATGGCGGACGCCTTTTCGTCGACCTCGGTCAGCAAGCGGTCGATCATGTCCTGCTTGTTCTGAATGTCATTGGTGAGGATGGTGACATCGGGCGCGAGTGAGACCTGGGTGACTGCGGCGGCAGGAGTCAGGCTTTGAGGTGGTTGTCTGTGTGGCGAGCGCGAAGACCGGCGCGGCGAGCGAGAGGTGCGACGCGGCGAGTGCTTGGCCCTTGCGCGGCGCGAGTCACGGCGAGAGCGTGGGTGGTGGCGAGCGGATCAAACGAGTCGTCTTGCTGACGCGAGCGGCGACTGCGCACCGAGCGGCGCGACGACTGGCGCGGTGAACGGGTTTTCGAATGCACGTGGCGTGCCGCGCGCGGCGAGTAGTACGAGTAGCCCGAGTAGCCGCCTGCGTCCGAGTACGAGCCGGATCCGATGTACTTGGACGGCTCGATGACCATGTCAAAGCCAGAGACGGGAGGGACGTCAGGTACGGCCGTGGTGTGTGCTGTGTGCGGCGCCGAGCCAATGATGGGTGCGGCGCCGAGGTTCGGCGCAGGCGGCAGGCCGCGCGGGGACGGTGGACCGACGTTGGAAGCACAGGCGAGCGAGAGCTCCAGGTTCACGTGGATGGACGACGCTGGCGGGGCCGACGAGTCGTCGGGCAGCGGCGAGGCGAGGACGGCAATGGCGATGTTGGAGAGCGCGACGGAGAAGCCCTCGAGAAGGAGCGAGACGAGCTCCGAGTCGAGTGGGACGAGAGCATGGCCGTAGTACTCTGGGTCGTAAATGCCGCGGGACAGCTCTGCAGCGCGCCAGATCTGGATGGCGAGAGCGCCAGAGGGGTTGGTGAGAGTAGCTAGTGGCGCCGGAATGTGGGTAGTCTCGTTCCAGGCCGAGGCGGTGAATGATGACAGGCCAAGCGGCGACGGGACAGCCGGCAGCGGGCCGGGCACCTCAGTGCCAGCCACCGAGAGGTCGGACCACGGCAGCGCCGGATCAGAGCCCGAGTTGAGGCGGGCGGCGGTCCGCTGCCAAACGTGCTCGCTGAGGGGACGACCGCCAGCAGGGCTTGAAAGTGCGACGAGCGATCGGGCTGTGGAGCGAGGCGGCCGAGCTTGACGCGGAGGAGACCAAAGGTGGGTTCGGCCGCTAGTGAGCGCACCAGGTCCGAGACCGTCGGAATGAGCTCGATGGAGACAAGGACGGTCTCGGTCGAGCCTGCCTTGCCCAGTCGGAGCAAGTACTTGGTCCGCGAGTCGAGGGCTGAGAACGGGACAACAAACTTGGCGAGAAGCGTTTGGGTGAGCGAGTCGGCCACCGAGAGCACCACACCTTCGCCCGGCACAGCAAGCAGAGGTTCTGGGACGCCGACCACAAGCTCTTCGCCCCACGCAGGGCGGCGCGAGGCGCGGGCAGCGCGGGTAGACGCGTTGGCACGGCGCGATGTGCGGTCGTCTTCAGTTGTCTTGAGCGAGACAAAGGCGGCAGGGAGCTCGGAGCCATCGACGCCAACGAGCGGCAGGCCCGAGGCCTCAAAGACGACGACACGGACGGCGGCGGCGGAGGAGGAGACATGCGTCGCGAGTGCGTCCCGCAGCGGGACCGCGGTCCGTGACACAATGTCAAAGGTAGCCAACGGCGGTGGCGCAAGCGGAAGAGTCGGACGCGGTGGCGGTGGCGGGGCCGGCTCAGGTGGCGGCGGGGCGGCAACTCGATGGGCGGACGACCGGGCCGAGCCATGTCGCGCAACGCGGGCTGACCGTGGGGTTCCGCGGCGTGAAGACCGCGGGGTGCCGTGACGCGACGACCTTGCCGAGTGCGGCGCAGACTCGGGCCGGACCGGCGGTCCGGATCGGTCGCTATGATCATAGCCGTCGTCGCCGTGGTTGTCGGTGGGTGCGGGTGGATGTGGCTCGTGGCCAGGCGGCGGCTGCGAGTGAACGGGTGGGCCAGCCGACCTGGGGGATGGCGACAGGTCAGCGGAAAAGTCAGCAATGTCGCCGGTGTCGTCGAGTGTCGGAATGGTCGGGTCAGCAGTGCCCGGGCGGTCTGTGCGCGAGCGACGGGAGCGCGAGCCCGAGCGTGCGCGGCGAGAAGTAGAAACCGAGGCCGGGCGCGAGCGCGACTTCTGGGTACGGCGGGTGCGGGTGCCCTCGGGTGCCGTTTCGTCCTCGGTGTAGTACGAGTACTCAAAGTCGTCGTCGACGTGGAATCCGCTCTGTAAGTTGGTTCCTGTTGTGTACTCGTACGAGTACTCCTCCGAGTCGGAAAACTCCAAGATGACGACAGTCCGGGCCTCTGCGCCGTCCATGGCCGGATCCATCTTGAGATCGACCTCTGCTGCACCGGTCTCGAGGAGTACAGCCGTGACTGAGGCTACCGAGACCTTGGCAGCCGCGTACTTGTCGATGGACTTGGAGCCATCATCCTGCTTGGAGACGACGTAGAGCTCAAAGATGATGAGCAGCGGCGGCTCGCCTTCCGGGGTGAACAGCTCGTATGGACCCTTGGCAAAGACCGGGGTAGTCGTCGCCGGCTGAACCACCTCGGTCCGCCCGCGTGACACCACATCGATCTGCTGGGTATCTGTATTGAGCGCCACGAGCGTCATGGTTGTGAAGAAGAAGCCCTCTTGTGCGGTTACCGTCTGTTGACCGACAGAAGAAGGGAGCCATTGCGTTCGATGGCAACAGGGCGAGCAGCATATGTGTAGGGATGTAGGTATGTGAGTGTGGGGGGGGGGGGAGGGAGGATGGGTAGGGGGGGAGGGGGGGGAGGAGGTACATGGAGGGGACGGGGAGGGCGGGGGAACGAAC